ATCCTTCCAGCCGCCTCTCCTCATGGTCTACTCAGCAAGATTGTTGTTCACGAGAAGGAGTTGAGTGTTCTAGTGACACTGGCAAAGTCACAAGTCTTCTCCTGGAAAATGCACGTCAGAAGAGTCCAGAATCCTTGAGAGGTGAAATCAACTTATCTTCTTTACTTGAACTTGAATTTCTGGAATTCTTGGACTTGAGCTACAATGACTTTGAACGCTTAACCACGCCATCTATCAATACTTCTGTTGCAACTTATGGTCATTTGCTAGCAAATTTTTCTAAGCTTTTTGAACTGAGTTTATCATACAATGTTCATCTTTACATTGATAATTTTCAATGGCTTTCTCAACTTCCTTCGCTGACATATCTTGATCTCAATGGCATTCATCTTCGTAAAGAAATGAATTAGGTTCAACATTTTGCTTCATTACCTCTTGAGGAATTACATTTGGAAGATTGCTATTTGACAAGCTTCAATATTCCATCTGTTGAGAATGTCAATTTTAGCTCTCTGTCACTTCTTTCTCTTAGTCAAAATGATTTTAGATATGGATTACCTAAATGGTTGTTCAATCTTAGTAAGGCCTTATCCTATCTTCATCTCAAACAGTGCAATTTAAGCGGTCAAGTTCCAGATTTTTAGGTTATCAAAACCTGCATACCTTAGATTTGTCTATCAACAAACTCAAGGGATCAGTGCCAGACTGGTTAGGCCAACACGACCACTTACATCATCTTATTCTATCTAATAACTTGCTTGACAACATTTCTTCAAGTCTAGGAAGCTCACCAACTTTAACAGTTTTAGATCTTAGCTTCAATCACTTGGGTGGTACACTTCCAAAAAGCCTTGTAACAACCAACTTGCTTTTGGATTTGTCTCACAACTCAATTGGTGGAGATATCTCAAACTTGTTGCTAACCAATACATTCATATTTATGTCATTTAATAAGTTCAAAGGACAACTTCCTCGTATATCAACTACCGTCAATACCTTGGATTTGTCTCACAACTCTTTCTCTAGATCTTTGTCTTCTTTGTTGTGTTACAATGAGGATGAACAAGCTAGCAGCTTGGAGTACTTGGATATATCAAATAATTTTTTATCAAAAGAACTTCCCAATTGTTGGAACAATTATCCATACTTGTCTTATATATACTTAGGGAGTAATAAGTTATCTGGTGAAGTTCAACCAATTATGGGTTCATTAGTTGAGCTCAAGTTACTGGATTTAAATAACAATAGCTTTTATGGGGATATACCATGGACTCTCTAAAATTGCACATCTTTGTTGGTCATTAATCTAGAAAGAAACAATTTTTATAGGAATATACCAACATGGATGCCAAAAAGCATATCAGTTGTGAACTTGAGATCCAATCAATTTTCAGGCAACATTCCTTCACAGATATGCAGCCTCTCTAATTTGATTGTGTTAGATCTCTCGAATAATGAACTTTCAGGATCAATCCCTTATTGTCTATCTAATCTAACCAGCATGATTTCGGGACTTTCAAACACTTTTTTTCATGAAAATGATGCTGGGTGGTCTCCCATTGATAGATGGTTTTGAAATTCCACTTAAATTCAAAACTAATCTGCATACAAAGGGTCAGCAATTAGAGTATAGGGAAAACCTAAGACTTATGTAGATTATTGACCTTTCAGCTAACAAACTTCGTGGAGAAATTCCCGTCCAACTGTTTGGGCTTAAAGAGTTACAATCCTTGAACTTGTCCTACAATGATTTGCTAGGAGAGATATCAGAGAGAATTGGGGAGATGAAAAATATAGAGTCTCTTGACTTCTCCCATAACAATCTTCATGGGAATATTCCTCAGAGCATGTCTAGTCTATCTTTCTTAAGTCATTTGAATCTATCATACAATGATTTCAAAGGACAAATTCCACTAGCGACTCAACTTCAAAGTTTTGATGCATGGAGTAACATCGAGAATCCAGAGCTTTGTGGAGCTCCTCTTCAAAAGAATTGCATAGTACATGAGAAAGTAGACAATAGCCTGTAAGTTGAAGGAAACAATGAAGATGACACTTTTTTGAAGTCACTATATCGGAATGGGAGTTGGATTTGCAGTGGGATTTTGGATAATTTGTGGTTCTTTATTTTTCAACAGAGCGTGGAGGCATACTTATTTTTGGTTCTTTAATGGCATGGTAGACCGAATATATGTTATTGTGGCTATAAAGCTTTGAAGATTCCACTAATATTAGGAATAAGCTTCAACTCAGGTCAATTCTAAAGGTTTTTTCCGCTTTATTTGAAATTGAGTTAGCAGTTAACTCATATCATTCCTGTTCATATTTCATAGTAACAGGTAGTTTCTAATTGAAGTACTTTCGAGACTCCCAAGTTCCAAATGCTCTGCTAGTTTGGGTCTTTGGTCGATGATGTCTGTGTCAAGCTCTAGTGTTGCAAACTTTAAGTATTCAAATGTTTTGGGATGTGAAAATCCGGTGATGTTTTGTTGGGAGTGTTGTGTCACCGTAATTACAATATTGTTTGTGTACATTGTTCAGATTTTGTGAGCTTTATACTTGACTTGGCTATTTATATAATATATAGAACCATAATTTTTACAGTTCTCCCCATGAATGATAAATAAAACAGAGATCAGATCAGTAAATTCATGATCCATAAAGATAAATCACTTGACAACCAGGGACGGATCTAGATTATGCGTGCAGGGAGGCCAATTTCAATTTTTTTACAAAAAAAATATGGGGATGGAATTAATTTTCCCCTCATTTGCAAGACAAGTATTGCTAATTACAAGGAAAATTGAAACCACCAACTAATCTGGTTTCAATTTTTTCAAGTTTCAGCAATTTTTCAGAAATTTTTAACTTAGCCCAGCCCAAATTTTACACTTTCGTGCCCAATCAAGTAATTAACAAGAATAATGATCGAATTTCAAAGTTCATACATCTTTGAGATTTTTTAGCCAAAGAAGAAAAAAAAAAAAATCATTAAGCAATTGATTGGGGGAAAATGTCAGTAATCAACATACGTTTTCTTCTTTTATAAATCATGGGTTGGAGATTTTAAATGGGAACTAAAATATTTGTTAATATAATTTATTATATCCCTCTACTACTCCTTTATTATTATTAATTTTTTTTTTGGCAAAGCGATATATTGATTTCCTTTTCTTCCTATTAATCACCCGTCTTCTAGAAATTTAAGGGCCCAAAATTATACTTTAGTCCAAATAACATTACAATTAATATTTCACAAACTCATACTTTTTAAAACTATTATAATAGTTACTTGTCATTTTTTTATATGTATGCTTGTCAAAATAATATTTCCATTAGATGAAATCCAGGAAGGTTATTTCCATCTTTTCTCTTTCAATTTTCATGTCAGATCAGACGTTAGGAGCTTCAGAATAAATTTTGTTCTAGCTGTCCTTTAGTACAATTTTCCTTAAATGTTTGATTCCATATTTCTTGCTTTCTCGTGGTAAAAAATAAAATAAAATAAATATTTTCTTGCTTTCTCGTTTGAAAGCAAATCACATATAACAAGCAAGCTGCAGGTTTTCGGCTTTGAAGCTATTTTTAAAACTTTTCAATGGGCCCAGCCCAAATTTTCCACATCCAAACCCAATCAAGCCAACAAATAGATGATTGGATTCAGTCCAAAGTAACCAACAAATAAAAATTGAGTCCAACAAAATGAACTAATTTCTTATAATATAATAAATCAAAATTTAAAACTCTATTAAAAGAAGTGCTCACATTTAACGTTTACTTATACCTCAAATAAAATTACTTTTAATAAAAGGATACTAATAGATAACCAAAAAAAAAAAAGTTGAAGTACTCACTTCCTACAAATACAAGAAATCTATAATAATTATTTAAACAAGATAATCATTAAGTAATTCGAGTAAAATGTCAAGTAATTAACTTGTGTTGTGTTCTTGTTTCCCTTTTTAAGAAAACGTAGCATTAAATTAAATTGGTTCTAAATTAAATTTATTTATACATCATGCAGAAGTGGAGACTTTTTATCTGGTGAGAAATATATTAGTTAAAATATTTTCTTATATTCCTGATCATACATTAGCACGAGAATGTTGCGCGAAGTTGGCAAGTTCAGAATTTACCAAACAGATTCCACTGGGAATACAGATCCAGAAAAGCCAGAGTAAAAGATGATGAAGATGATCAATTAAAGCTTAGCCAAATTCCATATAGATCAAGGCATTCCAAAGATATTGAGTCCATGTAAATGATTTGTAGATTCCTTTTTTGACGCATCTTTTGAAATTATAAATTCATTCCTGATTTTGATTAACTTTTTAAAGGTTCAGCTGCCGAAAATCTTACAATACTAATAAAACTTAGGGCAAATAATTTGTAAAATATTAATTATTATTTTTTATATATAAAATAACAGTCGGTTTCTGACAAAATTTTTTTTTGAAAAATAATTTGTAAACATAAGCAGTTTTTTAATTTAATTAAAAACTTGTCATAATAATTATAAAGCATTTCTATATATTTTCCAAAAAAAAAAACCGGCCATCTAAAATTATTGTTTATTGTATTGTTTGTATTTAAATTCCATATAATCACACCATTGATCACCATATGCACACATGGCCTCTATGTCAGTGAAGGAAGGAAAAAAGACAATGTGTACGGCGACAAATGCTAAGGCCGGGGGAAAATACAGATAAAAGATGACTTCTAAAATTTTAAATTAAAGAAATAAGCTTTCAAATTTAGTCAACACAAACTTCATCCAAATTAAAACAAACTATAGAGATAAATAAAGTTAATTTAATCAGTATTTTTTGGCTTAATTAAAAAAAACACGTTCTTACAAATAAATATAAACAAAGCAAAGCACATAAAATCATATATAATATTGAACTGCACCACTTAACAAAATATTTAATAATTACATGACCTATATAAATCTTTCTAAAGACCAAACAAGCCTTCATTTCCAGATCACGGCTTGCTTTTTGCATCAAAACCTAGCATCCATGGTCATGGCTAGTTTCACTTCACAAATTTCATTAGCTTTGTTGATGTTGTTATTTGCAGTGACATTCGATAAAAGCAATTGTTGCAATGACAAGGATCGAATTTTACTGTTAATCTTCAAACAAGGGGTCATGGATCCTTCCAATCTCCTATCTTCATGGTCCACTAAACAAGATTGCTGTCAATGGCTAGGAGTTGAGTGTGATCGCAACACAAGCAGAGTCAAAACCCTTGTTCTGCCACCGCCAGACGGAAATCTAAATGGTTCAGAATTCTTGAGAGGTGAAATCAACTTATCTTCATTACTTGCACTTGAATTTCTGGAATCCTTGGACTTAAGCTACAATGACTTTGAACGTTTAAGCACACCGTCTATGAATAACTCTGATGTTGCTCACAGTCACTTACCTGCAAACTTTTCAAAGCTTTCTGAATTGAGCTTATCAAATAATATTCATCTTCACATTGATGATCTTCGTTGGCTTTCTCAACTTTCTTCCTTGACAACTCTCGATCTCGAAAGCGTTCATCTTCCCCTGGAAACAAGTTGGGTTCAATCATTGGCTTCGCTACCTCTGAAGCGATTATATTTGCGAGATTGTCATTTGAATAGCTTCATCTTATCTAGCAAGAATGTCAATTTTAGCTCAGTTTCAGTTCTTGATCTCAGTCTAAATGATTTTAGATATGGATTGCCTGACTGGTTGTTCAATCTCAGCAAAGATTGCGACCGTCTTTATCTCAAACAGTGCAACTTAAGAGGTCCAATTCCAGATTTTTCAGTTTATCGAAACCTGCTTTACTTAGATCTGTCTAGCAACAATCTCCAAAGAACAATACCTGATTGGTTAGGCCAACTTGAACATTTACATAGTCTTCATCTATCTAATAACTCGTTTCATGGCTTCTTTCCTTCTAATCTCGGAAACTCATCAGCTTTATCAAGTTTTGATATTAGCTTCAATAACTCGAGTGGGACACTTCCAAAGAGCCTTGAACAAACAGCCTTCATGCTTTTGGATCTGTCTCACAACTCATTTAATGGAGATATCTCAAAGTTGTTATTAAAAGGGTATTTTATATCCATGTCATTTAATAAATTTGAAGGACAGCTTCCCCGTATTTCATCTAATGTCATTGTTTTAGATTTGGCTCACAACTCTTTCTCTGGATCTTTATCTTCTCTACTATGTGACGCACAAAGTGGTAACAATTTTCTGTAATATTAGATATATCAAATAATTTTCTCACCGGAGAACTTCCAGACTGTTGGAGCAATTGGGCAAACTTGTCCTATATATACTTAGGGAGTAACATGTTTTCAGGTGGAGTTCCTCCAACAATGGGTTCATCATTACTTTTGCTAAGTACACTAGATTTACATAATAATGGCTTCTTTGGAGATATACCACAGAATTTCCAATATTGCATGTCTTTGGTATTGATTAATCTTGAAGGAAAAATATTTTCTGGAAAAATACCAGAGTGGACGCAACAAAACATGTCAGTTGTGAAATTGAGATCCAATCAATTCATTGGAAGCATTCCACCACAACTATGTAGCCTCTCTAATTTAATTGTATTTGGATCTTGCTGACAACCAGCTTTCTGGATTGATCCCTCCTTGTCTCAACAACTTAACTAGCTTTAATCACCAGAGCTAATGATCTAAGAGTAGAGGTCGGTCTCCCAATCTCTTATGAATACAGAGCTGGATTGTACACAAAGGGTCAGTTATTAGAGTATGAGAGAAGCCTAAAACTTGTGCGAAACATTGACCTTCCAGCTAACAAATTATCTGGTGAAATTCCTGTTCAATTATTGGACTTGCACAAATTACAATCCTTGAACTTGTCTCATAATTGATAGGAAAGATACCAGAGCAAATGGGAGGTTTGAAAGACCTAGAGTCTCTTGATTTCTCCCACAACAGACTTCATGGGAATATTCCTCAAAGTATGGCAAGTTTGTCTTTTCTAAGTTATTTGAATATGTCATACAACAATTTCAGGGGACAAATTCCATTGGGGACACAACTTTAAAGCTTTGAAGCTTGGAGCTACGCTGGTAATCCTGAACTTTGTGGAGCTCCTCTTCAAAATAACTGCACAATACAAGAAAATCCAAACAATACGAAGCAAGTTGAAGAAAACGATGATGACACTTTTTTGAAGTCGTTGTATCTTGGAATCGGACTTGGATTTGCTGTAGGTTTCTGGATAGTCTGTGGCTCTGTGCTCCTCATTGGAAAATGGAGGCATGCTTATTTTCGTTTCTTTACTGGCTTGGTTGATCGAATCTATGTTACTATGGCTATAAAGCTTCGAAGACTTCGCTAAATTGGGAATAAGTTCCAGGTAAGGCCAGATACACAGCACTTTTTTATTTAAATTCAAGGTTTTCTTTTTATAATATTTCTTGTTTCTAAGAAGAATTGTCATTATTGTGTCGATTTCCTTCCATTTGTTGCTTGATAAATCAAGTGCAAAACAATTTATATAATGCTATGATCAGTTAGAGTATTCGGCCCAAAAAAGTATGCGAAGATGAGTATAATTTTAACGAAATGAAACAAGGATCACTTGTATATTTTAAAAAATATGCAAATACAAACAAGTAATTTAGAATAAGACCATTTTAACTTAAATTAAGACTTATCAAATTATATATTTAGCAATTTAAGATGGTCCAAATTAATTTTACATTTGATTGTTCCATTGTTTTTTTTTTAGAGCTACGTTTGACTAAGTGAATTTGAAAGATTATATAATTAATAAATAGTAAAGTAATAATTTTTTATTCTATTTCTTCTGCTTTTTATTTTTAAAGTTTTGACTTTCAACCATATGGAGAGAGAAACAATTTTTATTTTAAAGTTTTCATCTAATATAATTTGACATTTAAAATATAATTTAAGATAGCTAGGGAGCAAGGTACTAGTATCAAGATTCAAGGCCATAGATAAATTTCTTTTGAGCTATATCTTATAATTTATGAGCGATTTTGCATTTAATCATGTGATATGCGAGTTGGAGTATGCCAATTGAATTTGGTGGTGATGTGTGCTATATGTATAGATATGTTTTTGAAGTGGTAAAAAATGGTGAAAGTCATAATTTATTATTTTGTATATGTCTATAATTTATTTATATTTACCTTTTAAGCTATCTTTATTTTCTTTATAAATTTTAATTCAGTCATTCATTTAATAATTTTTGTTTATTTTTATTTTCCAAACGATCCTTTATTTTGCACTTCATCATATGGTACCGAATAAAAGAAACGATTTATACATAATTTTTTTTATATTTTTGTTATTAGACTTCACATTCAAAATATGACAAGTGTATCATTCCCCAAGAATAATAAAAATCTATTTTTTTAATATAATTGTGCATAGTTATATGACCCAGAATTAAACAACAAACTTATATCATGTCATTTTGAAATATTACTCATATATTTGTCATTCATGTTTTAATTAAACAAAAACATAGCATTAAAATATGCATATATTGGAGACATCAAATATTTTTAATTATTAATATTGCGGCACTGATTGTGATATCGATGTTCATACTTATGTGGTGACAGCTCTAGAGGTATGTACAAATAACATAATGTATAGTACGTGTGTATATTTGAAACTCAGGAATTTTTATCCAATTACTTTGATGTATCCTATTATTTTCATTTCATAAATTGAAGTATTGTTCAATTATTCATTCAAATTAAATGCTCCAAAGCCAACTCTAATATGACTTTTTTCAATCACATAATTTGTCATTTATGTGCCAATAGGTAGTTGATTGAAGGGCTTTCATATGTTCTAGAAGTATCACTGGTTACCCTCTTTAATTGATGGAAGCTTGGATCGTGTTTCAATGTGGCAGCTTCCTTTTAAGTACTCAAATGTTATAGGCTGTGGAAGTTTGGGATCAAGTTTTGTAATTTGTGTGTTTGCCATTCTTTTTGAAGAATGATTATCTAATTGAATTAAATTCCAACACTGTCGGCCTAATTGAAAATCTCTACTCTTAACAACGTGTCTTTCATTCTAATTACCATATCGTTTGTGTTGTGATACATACTAGGTGAAATACATTTGATTTGGCTGCTTATATGAATTTGTTGTGTGTTTAAAATTACGTTGGCATGAATAATCAAAACCACTTTTTTTTTTTTTTTGCAACAAGAAAATAATTTCATTCAAACCAGCAACAAAACAAGAAGCAGCAACAGAGTCTCAGTAACAGCAAACGACAGCAGCAAGAAAAACCAGCAACAGCCAAAGGAAAACAACTAAAATAAAAAACAAAACAAAGGAACCCAAACCAAGGACAACGATTTCCAGCCAGAGAGAGCACAAAGAACACCCAATAGTTCAAGCACTTATCCCAGAAGGCAGCCAAACACACCAACCAACAGCAACCATCTGAAGTCTTGAGATTCACTCATAACAACGAAGGCTAAGAGCTTTGCCAAGATTAACATAATCTACTAGAGCCAAGTAAATCCCTTCTGGACAAAAAGAAACACTAAGCATAGCTTGCACCAGTGGAGAGACAGATCCTTCCATAACCCTTACAACTCTTTCAACAAAAGCAAAAATAATTCGCTTATATCCCTGAGGAACCCACCTCAAGCCATCCTTAATTTTTCCACCAAAAATACCAAGTGGATTACCCAAAATACAACAAAGATGGAGCTGGACCAGATAATCAACATTACCCCTATCTGAAAGAGCTGCCACATAGATACACCAGAAAGTAGAAGCAAAAGGCTCCAACAAGAATAAAGATTAGAAACCATTACATACCAAGTCATACAAGGGTAGACCAAGAAAGCCATCTCCAACATAGCCACCTCTAGAATGAAACAAGAACCCGCATGCACCAAGCAATCAGTCCACCAATAAACCAAATTAACATTCTCAATACAAAACAAATCAAGGCTTCCATCTAGATCAATAATACATTCCCAGAATATGATCACAAAGAATATAAAATAAATGGAAACAAAAACATTATACCACCAGGAAACGAGATCATAGCTTTGAGTAAATGGATGCACTAATCTCAATAAAGTGATTCCCAAATAATACTCCCTTCCAACCAACTCTGGTCTCGTCCCCTGCCAATCACTGATGTCTTCATCATGCCAGGCGAGGAATCCGATTTCATCAATTGATTAAACCGAAGACTGATCCACATTGCTTCAAATCAAATCATACCTTTCAAAGCCCAACTCCTCCTCAGATTTGGCCAGTACTGCTTCGGGCAGCACCTATTGTAGATCATCTTCCCTTCCAGAGCACTCAAGGAACCACCATAGTCTCTTTGCACCGAGCCAAAACCAATCGAAGAAACCATTCTACATTTGTTGTTAGCCAAACACCTTCAATTCACATCTCCCAATTTCAAGACCCGTTCCCAAATCTCCATCCTCTCGCCCTGAATTCCTCCACACCCATACCCTAATCCACACAGACACCAACCCACATCTCCATGACAGCCACCCGCTCACGCTCGCCATGAAACAAAGAGAAGAACAAACCCGCCGATCGCAAGAGAAACTCTCCAAGATGAGGGAGGGGGGACCCGGCACAGCACGCCTCCGCAAGGGTGAAGAAAACTCCAAGAGAGAAAAGGAGATGATAGTGAGGAATATCACAATTTATTAATCAAAAGCACGTTTTATTAAAAGAAATTCAAAAGTTTCTTCGATCAAAACCACATTTGAACACTTTAAACGTGTTTGTAAACATGTACTTGGTATACAAATGTCCAATTTTTAGACACTTTTGAAACATCTTATTATCATCGATCTCATAAACTATTCAATATATATGATCATGATTTGTAGTAGAGTAAAGCGATAAAAATATTGATCAAATAAAAGAGCATTCAATATTTTAAAGTTAAAAAAAAGACAAAAATATCATTATATTATTAAAATTAGTGTAAAAATAATCAAACCATTAACTTACCCTAATATTCATTAATTTTCGGTGTTAAATACTGATTATGTTTGTCATAATATTTGTTGACGTAGACTAAAAAAAAGATAAAAATATTCACAAAGTCATCAATTAGAAATATCCAGTAGTTTAAAGTGAAAAAAAATAAAAATATTTATAATATTATTTTAATAGGTGTAATTATGATTAATCTATCAAAATTTATGCCATATGATTTTCTTCTATCGTCATGTATTTCATCTTGTCTACAAAACTTAAACTTTAACATAATAAAATAAGTTGTATGCGATTAAAGATTGAAAATAAAAAGGTTGGCAAAGAATCCAAACACTTCATGCAAGATGTTGTCCCTACTTGTAATGCCTTGGTGGCTATGCACACCTACTACTTTGCCAATTCCTTCATGTTGCTTTGTGTTGTGACAGTGAACTCTATATTGAGATCATTTTTTTTGTTTATTATAAGAAGCAAAGATACAATAAAGAAATCTAATTAAGAGAAACAAGTTCAACTAATCTGGGAGAGTAAGCACTTAAAAAAAAACCTATTCCAAGCATCTAAAGCTGAAGAATGTATTGAGATCAGTTACGGAGTCATTTGCTGCGTAATTGGGATCCAAGTTTTCTATAAATCTTCAATTGTCAGTTTAAAACGAATTAAAATTTGTTAATTATTATTTTAAAATGTCTAAACTTCCCAAATATAGTTTTAAGTGTCTAACTTGAATGTAGCTCCTATTATTTCTTTGAAGTTGTTCCTGTTTCGACTAGCATTTGAGATTTATGGTCCAAATTTAAGTTTTTTTTAAATAGTTAAAGTATCAGTTATTAATTAAAAGAGCCAAACTTAGAATATTATTTTTATTTCACAATTTTTTTACATAAAAATTTAAAATTAAATATTTTTTTTGTTTTTGTGTTCTCATTGAGTTAGCATTGAACTCACATAATTCATGTTCATTTTTCAAAATAACACGTCCGAGAAAAGGTATTCAAATTCAAAAGCGATGGGAACTCAGGACACTTGAGACAAAGTTGGTTCAATTATCTTTGCTACTTGCATGTTTATTTGCTGGCATAATGTCGTCAACGATTGTTTTTTTGGGCATCTTGATCAAACATAGAAACGAGTTTAGAAAAATTTGTTCTCTTTTCACATGATGATTAAGTTCATTCAACTAATATTTTCATGCATGCATGTTGTTTTCTGGAGACTTGCAAAGTTATTTGAATTGTTTTCAGTCCTAAGCTGTTTCAAAAATATTACTCCCTTCATTAAAAAATATAAAGCATTTTGTAAGAAGTTGGATGTTAAAAAATATACGGCATTTTTAATTTTTTGAGGTATAATCATTACCTTTTTTTTTTCAAAAATGTCCCTATTGATAATGACTTTATATTTATTGTAGGGTGTTTAATAGGAGTAAATATAAAAAAATAGGGTTAGTTGAAAAGTAGGTAACTACTTTATTGAGGGATAAAATTTGATTAAAAATACTTTACAATTTTAAACAAAGAGAGTATTTGATTATTATATTCTATTTACTTCCTATCATAAACTTCTAATAAACTGATTTTTTATTATTATAAAGAAGACTATGCATCAAAGGACAGAGCATTCACCAAATCCATTGCACAGAAATTGCTTGAGGAGAAGTAATTAATTCAAAAAGAAATTGGAACTCAAGACTCTAGAGCCGAAGTTAGTTCAACCATTTTTTTTAGTAATTTAATTCAGCTTAAGGACAAAGCTTTTGATGCAAAATTGTCAAGGGGGAAAACCTTCCTTTTTTTTAATTAATTTAGTAAAGGATGAACCAATATAAAATACACTCATTTCTTAGCAACTTCTTGAGAAAGGGATTCAAATTAAAAATATTATGCTGGGAACTCAAGTCACTAGAGATAAAGTTAATTTGAATCCTTTTCTCAAGAAGTTGCTAAGAAATGAGTGTATATTATATTTGTAACACACCAAAATTTTTTTTTAAAATAATTTAACTCAACCATAGTTGGGTTACAGCCACCCAACACATTTTTATATCAATAATTTCAATATAATATATTTTATAATTGGCTTCAACTCACACACTATAACATTTCATATAAATTTTTACCTCCCACATGCCATTAGGCTAAATCACATTTGTCCATCCTTATACTCCCAACAAGTAAACTAAATCACATTTGTCCATCCTTATACTCCCAACAAGTAAAATAAGCAATTTAATAAATTTTCAACACAAGCCAGTTATTTGACCTTATAATCATGCCATTTTAATCAATCCAAAATAAACTAAATATTAAAATTACAGTCATCCAAATTGTACCAAAAATAGAAATAGTTTGAAAGGCATGATTACATTTATATATTCATATAATTGACAATAAACAAAAACACCTAATATTGGCAATATAACACATTATAAATCATAAATTAAATACCCAAAAGAGACAGTAGATCTATACCACTAAGCCTCTGGGACTCCTCCACGTGTCACTCGTGGCTCTTCTCCTGAAAATTTGTTAACCACATAATGAGACTCAAAAGTCCCAGTAACCAAAGCCAATTTATGATAGTGTATACAAACAGTTAAGTGTGTGCTTACTAAGTGAGAATTAAAAATAATATAATTCCAACAAATATAAGAATATTACAATATACACAAACAACCATCCTTATATCCCTCCATTAACCTCGAGCCGTAGCCCTCACTCAGTGCTAAATTATCCGGCCAAAGGTAGATTAGCCCGAGCCCTTACAAACCACCTATTGAGTTCCAATAGGGGCGTACCACGTGGCACATAAATACAACAACAATAGCAAGTCTCCCAACACCTCCCACAATAATCAAACAAATTCATAATAATATTGCACAATTATATAATATTACAAAATTTATAATTTTCTCAATAATCACCCAATTAACATGAAGTAACACTAATCATAAATTAAAAGCATGGTTACCTTGTGGCTTTTTCAATAAATTATTCCTTAAAATTTCTCTCTCACCACAATCTTCACCAGTAATACAATCTACAAATAACATATCATTTATAAATATTAGTTTCAATTTTTGAAACTAATAAAATAATTCTAATAATAGAATTAAAAATATAACATAATTCCTAATCTCAATCTTAATACAAATCTATAGTTAATACTATTAAGTAAAATTTTTAACTTCTCTTTTAATTATCAATAAACATTAATAATCTAAAAATCAACTTCTAAACTAATTTTTATTATCAAAATTTTCTTTTTATTTCATAAATTCGTACCTAAAATACCCAAAAATTAAAAATTAAGTCTCTAGCTTAGAATCATAATCCTATAGCCATAATAATTCATTTCTCATCCCAAATAATCATCTAAACCTCAATAAATTAACATATATTTTCAGATCTAGTCTAGAATTTGATCCATAAGCCACAGATTCAAAGATCATCAATAAATTTATACTCTAGAACATTTATTATACTACTGGCAACCTCAAAAATCATATTTATTCAACATAAATTCATCCCTCTTCTAGATCTTAAATTTTCTACCACTACAAACTCAGAAACCAAAGAAGAAGGATGACTAAGAAAAAATTTTAGAACACTTACTTAGTCTTGAAAAACTTAAAATCACACCCTAAATATTCTATTAAAAACTCTTACCTTAAAACCAGGCACCGGTGAACTTAGCTCACAGATGCTCTCTCTCTACCTCAGCTCACGCACGAAAGAAGAAATGAAGAAATGAAGGAACAGGTGAGTTTTTATAAAAATTCAGTGGGTCCCACACATTTTTTTTATTCTTTTCTCTCTCTTCTTTCTTTCTTTCTTTCTTTCTTTTTTATTATTTTATTTTACTATTGATGCGCAGCGGCCGAAAGTTTTCTTGTTTTTCTCCTTTCTTGTTTTTACACCTTTTCTTTTGTTTTTTTTTATAATAATAATAATAATTTAATAATATTTTTTTATTATTTTTATTATTTCTTTTTATTTATTATTTTTTTTAGAATTATATCCTAAGTTAGATTTAATAATAATTTTCTACTAATTTATTTACCTCTAAATATTTTTTAAAATTTCTATTAACCCAAATTAACTATTAAAATTTAAATTGAGATGTTACAATATTGGTGAAAATTCAATTATTATTTTTTAATTGTAATTAAATTGTAAGTTTACTTGTTGGCATTATTTAAAAGCAATGGACCAGCAAGTTAAAGTAGACTCTAACTTAGTGTATTTTGGGGGGAAAGACTTTACAAGCGTGAGATAGAAGCAATTCATGGACAAAGCATATATAATTAAAATTTACAAAAATGAATATATATATATATATATATGAGGGAAAATAAAAAAAAACGAAAATATTTTTTGTATAAATTTGATTTTTTATATAAATATATAGTTACATTCTTCTTATATATTAATAGATAGAAATCAATTTCGTAATGAATATATTTTATTAATTTTCAGTCAAATATATTGAAAGCATGTGAATAGGAAAAGAGGAGCTGGCTAAAATAAAGTTAAAAAATGTGTTGGAAATTAAAAACTTGTAAAGTATAACACCACTTCCCCAGTGGCTTGCTACCATCCCATACCCTAATTAATTTGCAATTTTCAAGACATGAATTTGCGAATAAAATTCGTTAATTTATTAAAAAAAAAGGAGAAATAACTTATCAAACATATCATCACTTTCAGTAATTTACTGTTTTCATACAAAAATTTGAAAACCTCAAATCACTAATTTCCAAGTGAGATTCGTTAATTTGTAACAGAAAATTGAGAATGTAACTTGTCAAATATCACTACTTCTTGTAGTTTGTTATTCTCATTCCTTGATTTATGCAATTCAACGACAAATAATTTGCAAGTTACATTCCTATTGTCATATAAGAACAATGACTGGGCATTTAACTTTGGATTGAGATTACTTCAAAGTCTGAACTGTTTATTTCAATGGTCACTAACCGCAGTAACAAATTAAGGACATGGAACCGTGTCTTTTTGTTGACTTTTTCGTTGGCCTCATTTGAATTATAGAACAATTTGTCGCCTAAAACAAGGATTAAATTACTCCTGTCGGTGTAGAATTTGTTTTTCTTTTTTGATAATAACATCTCTCTTCCCTGCAACATTTGCAAAGGGTATTAGTCTCTAGTTTTAATAAAATTATAATCATGTAATGTACTGACAGATAAATAGCAAAACATCAACTTCTCCGACGGATATTTACCTTGCGGGAGCAACCCTTTTCGAAAGTACTTGCTTTGTAATCAAACGACCATCACCGACATGCTTAATTTGTCATCACAAATGTCAGTTCTTGTGTTGATGCTGCTATGTGCTGTCACATTCCATAGAAGCTTCTGCTGCCATGACAGCGATCGAACTCTGCTCTTACTCTTCAAACAAGGCGTTGTTGATCCTTCCAACCGCCTCTCCTCTTGGTCTTCTACGAACCAACATTGCTGTGAATGGCAAGGTGTTATTTGTGATCCCTACACCAGCAGGGTCCAACAGCTTGATCTGCACAACTATAACTATATGGAAAGTGGCTCAGAATCCTTGAAAGGTGAAATCAACTTATCTTCTTTACTTGCACTTGAATTTCTAGAAGAATTGGACTTGAGCCGCAATGACTTTGAACGAATAAACACACCATCTATCAATACTTCTGTTGTTTCTCGTACTCATTTACCTGCAAATATTTCTCTGCTCCATCACCTGGACTTATCACAGAACATGCATAATCTTCGCGTTGATAATCTTCATTATTGGCTCTTGCAACTTCCTTCCCTCACATATCTGGATCTCAGTGGCATTCATCTTCCTTGTGAAATGAAATGGATTCAATCATTAGCTTTGTTACCTCTGGAGGCCTTATATTTGCGTGATTGTAATTTGACCAGCTCCATTCTATCTATGGAACATGCCAATTTTAGCTCACTTTTATATATTGATCTCAGTCTAAATGATTTTACATATGGACTACCTAATTGGTTGTTCAATCTTAGCAATGACCTCTCCAATCTTCAACTCGGTCACTGCAGTTTGAGAGGTCCATTTCCAGATATTTCAGGCTATCGAAAGCTGCAGAACTTAGATCTATCTAGCAACAAACTCAAAGGATCAATACCTGATTGGCTTGGCCAGCGTGATGGATTGATTGGCCTTGATCTTTCTAATAATTCGTTTCAAAGTTCCATTCCTTCAAACCTCTTAAATGCATCATCTTTAGCAATTTTAAATATTAGCTTCAATGACTTGAGTGGTACACTTCCGAAAAACCTTGACCTTGACCAAAGGCACTTTGAAATTTTGGATTTGTCTCACAACTCAATTAGTGGGGATATATCGAACATGTTGCTGGATGGTGGGTATATATTGATGTCATTTAATAAATTTAAAGGACGGCTTCCTCGAATATCAGAGCATGTCATAGCTTTGGAGTTAGCTCACAACTCTTTTTCAGGATCCTTATCTTCTTTATTGTGTGACCCCGATCCACGTAACAAGTACATGTTGGTGTATTTGGACATATCAAATAATTATCTGGTTGAAGAACTTCCAGAATGTTGGAGCAGTTGGGCATCTTTGTCTTATATATACCTAGGGAATAATCAGATGGTTGGTCAAGTTCCTCCAAGGATGGGTTCATCGTTTTATCATCTGAGAGCACTAGATCTGCATAATAATGGCTTTTCTGGTCATGTACCTTGGACTTTTTGTCATTGCACATCTTTGGTGTTCATCAATTTAGAAGGAAACAACTTTTCCGGAAATATACCATCATGGCCGCAAAATATATCAGTTGTGAAGCTGAGATCCAATCAATTTACAGGCACCTTTCCTCCCCAGCTCTGTAGTCTCTCTGCTTTGATTGTATTGGATCTTGCAAATAACAAACTTTCAGGATCAATCCCTCATTGTCTGCTCAATATAACCCTTATGATTTCAAGCCGATTTCTTGAAAATGCTTTAAGCAAACAAGATCAACTTGTATCAACTGGCTTTCCATCTCCACAAGAATTCAAAATTTATTTGCAGACAAAGGGTCAACAATTACAGTATGATAAAAATTTGAAGCTCGTGCGAAGTATTGATCTATCAATGAACAAATTCACGGGAGAAATTCCTATCCAATTGTTCAAGCTCACTCAATTACAATCATTGAACTTATCGTACAATTATTTGACTGGAGAGATACCGGAGCAGATTGGAGAGATGAAAGATTTAGAGTCTCTTGATTTCTCCCATAACAATCTTCATGGGAACATTCCTCACAGTATGTCTGGTCTATCTTTTCTAAGTGTTTTGAATCTTTCATACAACCATTTTAGTGGACGAATTCCACTGGGAACTCAGCTTCAGGGTTTTGATGCATGGAGTTATATTGGAAATCTTGAGCTTTGCGGAGCTCCTCTTCCAAATAACTGCACAGTACCAGAAAAATAGATAATATAAAACAAGTTGAAGGAAATGATGATGATGGCTTTTTGAGGTCATTGTATCTTGGGATGGGAGTTGGATTTGCGGTGGGATTCTGGATAGTTTGTGGTTCTCTGTTCCTAAACAGAACATGGAGGCACACTTATTTTCGATTCATTTATGGTGTGGTAGATCGAATCTATGTCTTTGTGGCCATAAAGCTTCAAAAATTCCACTGAATCGGAATATGAGGTAACACCAGGTCAGTTAAGAAGTTAAAAAATAAAAAATATATATACTTTGGTATTTATGTAGCGATTTATATGCAACAGTTAATTGATATTATTCTTGTTTGTTTTTCGTTATAATAGTCAGTTGATTGAAGGACTTTTTACACTGGCATACATCCCCAAAGCTTTGCTAGTTAAGCTCTTTGATCGATGGAAGTCAGGCTATTAAAGTGTTGTCATGTTGAAGGGGGAAAAAAAAGTATGATGATGTTTTGTAGGATGTGTGTATGTCATTGTGATTACTATATTTAATTTGTGTTGTTCAGATTTTGTGAAGTAAAATGCTTGATTTGGCCGTTTGTATGAATTTGGTGTGTCCAATAATTATGAGAAGGTGATGTCATATTTTATTTAATCTCCCAGTGTCTATCTTGAGCCAATAAATTCTGATTCATATCAAAGTTGTCACAATGCTTGTTATATGGATGTCAGCAGGCGGTTGATCAGACTTGAGAAAGCTAAAACCATTTATCTAAATCAGAGAACGGATCAATGCAGTTATGATCTTGGGATAAAAAAAGTTTTCAAGTAATTAGAAAAAGTCATATTTGGCCAAAAAAAAAGTAACTAGAAAAAAATGTTTAGTAATTGACATACTTACTTCGATCATATTTATAAGTCACTTCTATCTATTTCATTAAAACTAAAAAACAATTAAATCTTATTATCTATATTTTAAAATTTAGTAAGTTTCTGTCTCCCTCTTATAAGGGCAAAAAAAAAATTTTTTAAATAATTTTTTCTAGTATATAACATGGGCAGTAAAAGTAAAGATGTACACAGAAAATAAAAAAAATCCTCTGTAAATATATAGAAAAGCAAAGTTTGTCAAAGGAAACAAATTAAAATAATTATAACATGTTGTGGCCTATTAAAAATAGACCATATATTAATGAATACAATATGAGAGTTGCATTCCATTAAGCAAAAAAAATTATAAAAAAAAATAATGCCAGAAACAAGTAAAAAAAAACAAAGAGAAAAATTTCTCCCTAATTTCGTAAACAAATGGCATTTTCTAGCTAGTTTGCTAGTGTAATTTATAATGTTAGTGAATCATCCCAATGCATTATGCTTGCTCAGCCTTGAGAAAAGTGATTCAGACGCAATGGCAACTCAAGACTTTTGAGACAAAGTTAATTAATTCAATTATTTTTACTGATTGTATATATGCTTACTTGTTTGCGTAATTATGTCGTTAATTTTTTTTTTTTTTCCTTCAGCGTGTTCTTTACTTCCTTTCGCTTTCCAATTACGCGTGCATGCATATATCTCGATCAAAGAGAGAAAGATAGAAAAACTTTTGAAATATTTGTTCTCTTGTAACGTCATGATGAAGTTCATTCAACTTCTATTTTCATGCACTTAGTTTTCTGGACACTTGCAAAGCTATTTGAATTATTTTCAGCCCTACTCTGAAAAATATTATTTGATTATTATATTCTACTTGCTTCGTATCATAACTTCTGACGAACGGATTTCTTATTATTTGGCCAACTTCTTTTCATTTGAAGATAGCATTAACCAATTAGCGATGCAAAGGAAATAAATAAATAAATACATAATTACCTAATTACGTATCATTTTATTTTCAACAGAGTTTGGATTGAATAATCAGATATTATACAATTAGATGTTAATCACTTATAATATTTCCTTTATTAAGAGGAAAGCACCTCTGCCAACAGATGTTGATCTAGTGGAGAGGGTTGTATTTACTTGATTAAATACGCGAGAGGTGTTAAATTCAAATTCACGTGAATGTAAAACACAGTTTTAGGAGACCTAATCTTAATTTGGTTGGACAATACTATAATATAATCCAGTAGTATTTATGCAATGGAAATTAGTTTTCATATATAAAGTAAAAGAAGTGATTTGGCCAACATAAAACAGTTAATTATAAAATATTGAATGTTTATAAAAATAAAATAAAATATAGAACCGAAATAAGAGTTGATTCCAATAATTTTTGAGCTCCATGATAATGTTAGACTTAGAACATAAAAATATCTTCATAGCTAATCACATCTAATGCTAATTACTCAAATCAACCCACACCCAATACCTTTGATTTCTTTTGTACTTTGAAGCATTCAAAAATTTCATCGTGTCATGTGGAAATTTAAATTAAATTTAATAGGCTCCATTAAGGCTGTACTTGTAATTATAAAGAAGACTATGCATCAAATTAAGGACGGAGTATTCACTAAGTCCATTGCACAGAAATTGCTTGAGGAGAAGTAATTCAAAAAGCAATGGGAACTCTAGACTCTTGAGTCAAAGTTAGTTCAATTATTTTTTACTATTTGTATGTTTACTGCCGGGTAGCATTATAGTTTATGCCAAATACAGAACTAATATTCAGCTAAAGGATATATAGCCTTTGATGCAGCTACAATTGTCAAGGGGGCAAATCTCCCTTTTTCTTTAATTAATTTTGTAAATGATACACCAACTATACACTCATTTCATAGCAACTTCTTGAGAAAGGGCTTCAAATTAAAAATATTAGGATCGGAACTCAAGTCACTGGAGATAAAGTTAATTCAAATATTATTTTTTAATCGTAATTAAATTGTAACTTTACTTGTTCGCATTATTTAAAAGCAATGGACCAGCAAGGAAAGTAGACTCCAACTGGAGTGTTTTAGGGGGAAGACTTTACATGCGTGAGATTGAAGCAATTCATGGACAAGCATAATCTAAATTTACATAAATGAATATATATATATATATATATATATTTGCTCTCCATTGTGGAGAAGGATTTTTGTTTCTTCAAAAAATGATTTAGGAAAAAAATTTTCTCATTTATTGGTACGAGATGTCCGGCACTCTTTGGAGGAAAGTGCAAGAACAAAAATATATTTTAACTTAAAAATAAATATTAATAACTATTCTAATTTAAAAAATGACTATTCTTTTTTTTTTTCTAGCAATGACCAAAATAGAATAAATAATTATAATTTTTCTTGCGCATATTGATTGTTTAAGGGGATTTTTGCTCCTTTGAAAATAATTTACAAAAAAAAATACTCATTTTTTAATACAAGGTGTCAAACGCTCCTTGAAAAAAAGTATAAGACTTTAATCATTTTGGTAAATTTCCCAAATATTTTAGTGAATCATGAAATTTTTGACAGATATGATGTTGAAGTGTGTTGTTCTCATCATGATGTTCATGATTTGCAAAATATGGTACAGGGACATGTAATTTCACAAAGACCCATTCTGACATGAAGAACCAGTCAAGAAACTAAACTTAGCAGTAGTGAAACTAAATGTTGCAAATTGCAATTGCATGGAGTGGACAAGAATAATTTTATGCCAGATAACTAAGAGAATTTTTTTTTAAAAAGACTTGATTTAATTTATTTCGCAAACAAAGATTGAGAAAAAGACAAGACTTGAAAAGTATATATATAATGACTTTGTTGGTATCAAGTAATTGGAGATGTTGATTAATTAACTTTTGTTTTCCATCTCCTTTCCGTTTTTGTTTTTAGAAAATATTTCTATTAAGTTAAATTGGTTATAAATTAAATTTGTTTACACATGATGCAGAAGTGGAGATTTTAAATGGAGACAAAAATATTTGGTAATATAAAAAGGATGAAGAAAATTAATTGGTGCACCTTCAAAATGACCTTCTTGCCCCTGGTGGCTTAGCCAAATTCTTTTTCTTTTTTTTTTTAATACAGGCTTAGCCAAATTCCATATGAACCAGGTCATACTAGAGATAGACGTAGAGTCGTTTCAGCCCAAGGCTCAAGCATGGACCTGGACCACAGTACTGCACCGTTTCTCACAAGTAAAGAATTGGGGGGAAAACCCCAAAAAAAAAAAAAAAAGTCGATAATTACACGTACATTGACTTGGTATTAATTTATTCCTCAAGCAAAGACTTGACAAATGATAATTGATAATGACATGGCTGGCAATTATTTCACAGCCAGAGTCTGGGCCAGAAAAACAAACTTGAAAGACTTATGACAATGACAATGAATTGATAATTTATTTCCGTGGTTAAAAAAAAAGGCAAGAAATTGAAACATTTCTTATATGGAGTGGAATTTTTTTATATTTTGAAAAAATAAAAAAAATATCTTAAATTTTGCAACAATAGATCTGCAAAAGGGAAAATATTAAAGCGGATAAAACATATATCACTGAGTAAATTTTGAAATAATCTGCTGGGATAAAATGTTGCGTTAGTGTAGAAAGGACTTCGATTGAGTGCGATTTGGGGGGACGACTTTTCCGGCGTGAATGGAGTGGAAGCAATTAATAGACCAGCATAAATCTAATTTTATGTCACTTAATATTGATTAAATTTAAGGAAAAGTAAAAAAAAGATGGCAAAATTATGAATAAATCCTATATAGTATACTTATTTATAAATAAGTCTCATAAAATTTAAAAACTATAGCCAAAACTCTTGAGACTTAAGTGTAATTTATGATTGGGATATAAGAACAATATTGTCTTGGTTATTTTGCTTTTGCTTAGAACCACAAATTCACATTTGTAAGTAAAATTTTATAATTTACCAATCAAATTTTTTATTTCATACTTGATATAATATAGAGTTTTTATAAAGTTAATTATGCGTACTTGAGTTATAATTACATGGCATGAATTATGAATTTTATATCTCAATTAAACCAATTATAGCCTTAAATAGAGATTATATTATATGAAGTATTAAAAAAGAAATTTGATTTGTAAATTATGAAATTTTATTTGTAAATTGTGGAGCTACAGTTATAAATAAAAGTTAAATTAACAAGGATAATGTTATCCTTGTATCCCAACTACAAATTATAAGATTTGGTTGTAGTTTTTAAATTTTACGAGATTTATTTGTAAATAAGTTTATTGTATGAGACTTATTAGTAATTTTTTCAAAAAATTTTATGTGCATAAGTTTGACATTTTAAAAATATATATATAATTAACATTCATTTTTGTTTATTTTTCTCGAATGCATAAATATGTTAATAATAGAATAAACAAAATTTCGTAATGAATACATCTTATTAATTCCCACTTACATTCATACATATACATATACAGATATATATTGGAAGGCATGTTTGAAAAAAAAAAAAAAGGAGCGAGCAAAAATGGAGTTGAAAAAGAGTTGAGAGGCCAAATTTCAGTTTAATTTCAGGGAATTAATAGAAAATTTTACATTTTTTTTACAATTATGTGTAATTTCATAATACTTTAACTTGATCTTGATTTTAAATTAATTGACTACTTATTACTGAAGTGATCCCAACTTTCTGGAATTTTGAAATTAAAACCCAATAATAGTTTAAAGGGATATTCTTCCTATTGCCCCCATTTGCAAGGCATTAGTCTCTAGTTTTTACAAAATTAAAAAAAAAAAACAAAAATTGTAGTCGCGGAAATAGTCAAAAAAAAAAAAAAAGGAAAAAAAGAAAAGAACTCCACGCGCAGATATAAAGCTTGGGGGAGAAATAACAAGTCTTCACTTGCAGAAAGCCCTTTCTAAAGTACTTGCTTTGTAATCAACATGCTTAGTTTCTCATCACAAATCTCAGTTCTTGTGTTGATGCTGCTATGTGCTGTCACATTCCATAGAAGCTTTTGCTGCCATGACAGGGATCGAACTCTGCTCTTAATCTTCAAACAAGGCGTTGTTGATCCTTCCAAACGCCTCTCCTCTTGGTCTTCCACGAACGAAGATTGCTGTTCATGGCAAGGTGTTATTTGTAATTTCAACACCAGCAGGGTCCAAACTCTTGATCTGGGCAACTTAAATAAAAATGGTTCAGAATCCTTGGGAGGTGAAATCAACTTATCTTCACTACTTGCACTTGAATTTCTTGATTGGTTGCAATTGGGCCACAATGACTTTGAACGCATAAGCACGCCGTCTATCAATACTTCTATTGCAACTCATAGTCATTTTCCTGCAAATTTTTCTCTGCTTTCTTTTATGGACTTATCATACAACGTGCATCTTCGCATTGATAATCTTCATTGGCTCTCTAAACTTCCTTTCCTAAAAATTCTCTATCTCAGTGGTGTTCATCTTCCTAGTGGAACGAAATGGGTTCACTCATTGGCTTTGCTACCTCTAAAGGGATTATATTTGAATGACTGTAATTTGAACAGCTCTATCCTATCTCTTGAACATGCAAATTTTAGCTCACTTTCAAGTCTTGATCTTGGTTTAAATGATTTTACATGTGGACTACCTAATTGGTTGTTCAATCTTAGCAAAGACCTCTACGATCTTCACCTTAATCAATGCAATTTGAGAGGTCCAGTTCCAGATTTTTCAGGCTATCGAAATCTGCAGATCTTATATCTATCTAACAACAAACTCAACGGACTGATACCTGATTGGCTTGGCAAGCATCTTAGATTATGTGACCTTGATCTATCTATTAACTCGTTTCACGGTTCCATTCCTTCTAATCTCGCAAACATGTCATCATTATCATATTTAAATATTAGCTTCAACAACTTGAGCGGTGCACTTCCAAAAAACATTGATCAAATCACCTTCTTTATTTTGGATGTGTCTCACAATTCAATTAGTGGAGATATATCGAAATTGAAGCTACAAGGTGGTATATTTATGTCATTTAATAAATTCAAAGGACAACTTCCTCAAGTACCGTATTATGGAGTAGAAGTTTTGGATTTAGCTCACAACTCTTTTTCAGGATCTTTATCTTCATTGTGTGGTCACATTGAGAATGGTGCCCTGCCTCAGTTGAAGTATTTGGACCTCTCAGATAATTATCTCACTGGAGAACTTCCAAATTGTTTGAACAATTGGACAGATTTGTCTTATATATACTTAGGGAATAACCAGCTGGTTGGTCAACTTCCTCCAATGATAGGTTCATTTTTAGATAAACTAAGGGCGCTGGATCTACATAACAATGGCTTTTCTGGTCAAGTCCCTTGGACTATTCATAATTGCACGTCTTTGGTCTTGATTAATTTGGAAGGAAATCACTTTTCTGGAAGTATACCAACATGGATGCCGCAAATGTGTCAATTGTGAAACTGAGATCCAATCAATTTACAGGCAGCATTCCTCCACAGCTATGTTGTCTCTCTTCTTTGATTGTATTGGATCTTGCAAATAACAAACTTTCAGGATCAATCCCTCATTGCCTATTCATAACAAGTTTTTTAATTTTAGAATTTTTTGATGATATTATAACCGGTGGTGGAGAGGGTTCTGTTCAATACCTCCAATCTTTACGTGAATTCAGAATTGATCTGCAGACAAAGGATCAACAATTAGAGTATGAGAAATTCTGAACCTCGTGCGAGGTATTGACCTATCAGCTAACAAACTGTCAGGAGAAATTCCTGTACAGTTAGTTATTCAAGATAACCAAGTTACAATTCTTGAACTTGTCTTATAATTATCTGGTAGGAGAGATACCAGAGCAGGTAGGAGAGATGAAAGATATAGAATCTCTTGATTTCTCCCATAACAATCTTCATGGGAACATTCCTCAAAGCATGTCTGGTCTATCTTTTCTAAGTGTTTTGAATCTGTCATATAACCATTTCGGGGGACAAATTCCCCTAGGGACTCAACTTCAGAGTTTTGATGCATGGAGTTACACTGGGAATCCTGAACTTTGTGGAGCTCCTCTTCAAAATAATTGCACAGTACCAAAAAAAACCAAACGATACAAAGCATGTCGAAGGAAATGACGATGATACTTTTTGAGGTCATTGTATCTTGGGATGGGAGTTGGATTTGCGGTGGGATTCTGGGTCATTTGTGGTTCTCTATTCTTGAACAGAGCATGGAGGCACACTTATTTTCAATTCCTCTATGGTGTGATAGATCAAATCTATGTCTTCGTGGCCATAAAGCTTCGAAGATTTGGCTGAACAGAAATAATTAGAGACAGCACTAGGTCAGTTAAGAATTTTTTTGCTCCAATAAAATTTAAAGTTTTCTTTGTAATAATTTTCATTTCTTAGCCTATTCATCAATGCCATAATGAATTCCTTTTCTTTTTTATGCCCAATATATCAGATGCATAATACAAGGGAATTCTCTGGTTACGCAATGAAACGACTCCCATGAATCTTTAACAAACCAATAGGATGCACAATTAGTTTCAACTGTTTTGAACTAATTAAAATTTTTGATTCTCTATTTTAAAAATTTTAGGCTCACCAAATCTCAAGTGTCCAAATTAAATTTATACTCCTTTTACATATTTAATAGAAATTGCTGTTTCATTAAACTGTAGCATTGAAATTGATAGTCCAAATTTTATGCTTCTATAGTCCGTTGTCATTCAAGAAGGGGAAAAAAAACACTTCTTGTTATATAAGATTATTTTTATCTTGCTAAAGGTTTCAAATAAAAAAATTAAAATTATATATGCTTTGTTTTTAATGTACTGATATTATTCATATTTGTTTTCTGGAGCAAAACTACACCCCCCAAGCTTCGCTAGTTATGCTCTTCGATCAGTGGAAGTTAAGGTCAAGCTCTAGCGTGGTTGCTTCAAGTGTGCAGATGCTATTGGGCTATTAAAGTGTGGTGTTGTTGATGACCAAATAAAAGATTGTGATAATGTTTTGTGGTTGTGTTTGTCATCATGTCTGTGTTGTTCAGATTACTTGATTTGGTGTGTCCGGTTATCATGAAGTGGTGTCGATGTATTTTAGTTAATCTCTCCAATGTTGTTTGTGGAACATGAGATTTGAAATTTATGTTAAAGTGTGATGTTCTCGTCATAATGTTTCTTCTTGTAGAATGTTTAATATGAGTCTTTAAGATAAACTAATTCTAAATTAGCTTTGTTTATACATCATCAACTGGAGATTAATTAACATGGTATATATATGTGTTAGTGTAATTTATTACATTCAAGAGTATTGCACAAAGTTGGCATCATGTATTGAGGATGCATTGTGAGAATTTTTATGAAGAATAAAAACCATTCAAGGGAAAATAATCACCTTGGCCTAATTTCACATAGACCCATTCTGACATGGAAGAGCTCTGTCAATAAACTTAGCATAGTAATGAATAACTAAACGTTGCAATTTCATGGATTGACAAGAAGAATTTTGCACCAGATAACTAGGAAATTTTTCAACCAAGATACAAAATTATATTCCTAATTACGATCACAACATAAAGATAACCAGATAGGCAGTCATAGAACATGACTTAATAAAAACCTGAAGAAATAGATAAGAGGTGATATCCTAGGCAACTTATACCTTCATTTTCCTTCAGTTTAATCTCAATCTGTCACATCGACACCATTATTATTGGAGCTAATTAAGGGGCCATTCTAAACACAGACAAAAAAGTAATCTCAATTTTGCAAATTTTGTCATTAAATCTGAACTTGGAAAGCATATCATACAGCGACGTAACACTTGTGATGGAGGAAATATTCCTTTTTTACGTCATAGCAAGTTCCTTGAGAAAAAGTGAGTTAAAAGTAATGCATGGGAACTTAGACTCTTGAAACAAGGTTCAATTATTTTAGTTGCAACCCTGTCACGAACTCCGATCCTGATAGGCAAAATTACAGAAAATACTAGGAAAACTATAATATTCAAAAGGAAAAATTCACTAGCCAAGGCTTAAAGCAGCAGCTGGTTCGGCTAAATCCAATTACAACTGAAATATGAACGCATCAACAACTAAATGCAAAAGAAACAGAAGAGAAGCAGAGTAGAAAGGCCAGAGAGAAGAGAAGCAGACTCAAGGAAGGAGATGATTCACAAAGCTCTTCAATGCCTCCATCATGCTCTAATTTCTCCCTAAATATTCTCAAAATACCAAGCCCATCAACATTGGATGGCCCATTCGTATTATTCCAAGCCCAAAAATCCATTTGCTGCCTCTATCATTCCTATTGGGTCCATTCACGACAAACCCTCTTCTAAATATTTTAAAAATTAAACTTGAGTTTTAGTTAGATCTAAATTGTTAAAAAATTTTAACTCGTATCTTAATAATATAATAAATAAATAAATAATTTTTAAATGAACTTGCCCTTAATTAAGGTTTCGCTCTGTCATCGGAAGAGAGCATGGTATAAGCAAGGTGACAGACAACACAATAACGAACTAATAAGGTGATTTGAACTCACTGGGCAAGGGGCTGTGTGAATACATAAATCTTTGTATAGGTCTTTTTGGAAGAATTAATTAATTTTGACACGTTTGAATATAACCTAGTTAAATGATATATAAAAAAATGTAACTTGATAAAGTTCTTTTAAATTTATTTACGAGATTAAAGACTACCTTAAAAATAACAAATTATTGGGCTCTTATTCTTCACCAACCTGCTGTCATCAAATTTGGTGTTGGCTGAGAAATTTACACGGGTCGTAAAACTAATATAAATATAGTTTGTTTTCATTCTTTTAAAATTATAAGACATTTTTAATTAATTTAGACCTTTGGATGTGTTAGTTAATATTATTTAAAATTATACATTCTTTTCACGTTTACCTTAATTTTATATGGTATCTTAATTATAAATCATATTAGTTATACTCCCTAATTAATAATATTTTTGAAAAAAATTTATCAATTACACGAAAGACCTAGCATATATTGCTTTATATTTTTTTTACACCGCCTTTTAAAAAGTATTTTTATGCTGAACTGAGAAAGTACCTAATTTCTTCTATGTTGGTGGGGCTGTGATTATACCCATGCATGTCATGGCAATTTCTTAAGAAAAGTGATTCAAATGCAATATGGGAACTCAAGATTCTTGAGGCAAAGTTAGTTCAATTATATTATATTATATTTTTACTGATTGTATGTTTACGCGTTTGCATAATTATAATATTATGCACTAAACATTGTTTATTTCCTCAGCGTATTCTTCACTTCCTTTTGCTTTCCAATTACGCGTGCATGCAGTGTATCTTGATCAAAGAGACAAAGATAGAAACAACTTCTGAGAAAATAATTTTTTTTCTAAACTCCTTTACAAAGAGAGATCACAGACTGACTGACTGACACTCTACTTCAAATAAATAAATAAATAAATAAGTTCATTCAACTAATACTATCATGTACCAATCAGTTATTTAAATGATGAGGGTATTACTCATGCTAATTTTAATTAATTTCTTTATCCTTTTAATTAATGAATGGATTTTTTTCATTTGAAGAAAGCATAAACTAATTAACCATGGGAGGAAATGAATAAATAAATAATTACGTCTCACTTTTCAATAGAGTTTGGATTTAATAATCAGAAGTATACAATTAAATGTTAATCAATAAAGTAGTATTGAGCAATGGAAAATAGTTTTCATATATAAAGTAAAAGAAGTGATTTGGTAAATATATAACAGTTAATTATAAAATGTTGAACTGAAAAAGAGTTGACTCCAATAATTTTTTAGCTTCATGATATGTTAGACTTACAACTTAAAATCCCTTCATAATTAATCAACCACATCTAATACTAATTCAATTCATCCCACATCTAACATATACCTTTGTTTTCTGTAACACTTTAAGGCATTCAAAAACTTAATTGTAGAAATTTAAAATGAAAATAATTAAGGATATCCGGAATGTTGGCAGTATCTTCCAATCCAATATTTCAAATGACTGAGCATTTCACTATATCCATTAACAGTTCATAGTAATTGCTTGAGGAGAAGTAATTCAAAAAGCAATGGGAACTCTAGACTCTTGACAAAACTTAATTCAATTATTTTACAATTTTTGTGTTTACTTGTTGGCATGATATCGTTCAAGATTGTTTTCTTTATAATATTTTACTTACTTTTGCTTTAACTTGTTATTTACTTCCTTCTCATTGTCTCATATTCCATAATTTCTTACGGAATATTTATTTGTGGAGACGAACTTTTTGGAGATTCGTTTGCATGTGCTCAACATATATACTTTGCGTGGCCAACGGAGGCTAATTTCACAGCTCATTAGCAGATTAAATAAGATCGGTTTCATAATTTATAAGTTATTATTTTTTCCAATGAAAAACATTGAATCACTGAGCATCAACATCGCAGTTTTGTTTAATTAAGCCAAACACAACCGAAAACAAAGATCAAACAAACTTAATTAACACTAAAATGTACAATATAATGGAGCTATTATTTGTAACTATGAAACCTCAAAACTTCATGGATTTTAAGGTTAATTTTCTTCCTTCCTTTTTCTTTATTTAGTAAATGATGCAGTAAAAAGTTAAAACATTCCAAGAAGACTAAAAGTGAGGCTCCAACTATACTCATTTCCTAGAAACTTCTTGAGAAAAGGGATAGGATTCAGTTTAAAAGCAATATATGGGAACTCAAGACTCTTGAGACAAAGTTAATTCATTTGTGATTATAAAAAATGTTAACTCATTTATTTTATTATTTGTAAGTTTACTTATCGCATTATTCAAAAGCAATGGACAAGCAAAAGTAGACTTCGACTGAATGTGATTTGGGCGAAAGATTTGAGCAAGATCAGTGAAGTTTTTTTTTCAAAAAAAAAAAAAGTTTTGGGAGGCCATATTTTAATTTACGTGAATTTATATGCAAGCTTTATATTTTTTGTGAGTTATATGTAATTTTACTAGTAGTTTAAGCAAGGGCTAAATTTTCTTGAAGCTTACTTTTAGGAATATTGAAGACCAATCACTTGAAATTATTAATTAGAATACCTAACTTTTTTAAGGAATTTGAGGATTTGAATCCTCTCCATATTTTCTAATGCATCTCCCTCCACAATATCATCCGTCAATTTAAGTATGTATTTTAGGCCAAAAAAATTCAGGTATGTGTTTCATTTAA